AATGTTTTGCAGTTATAAATGACTTAGTTATTTAATTGTATAATATATTGTTATCCGTTATTAGCCACTGCGTGGTTGCGGTGTATCAAGTATATATATGATCACCTGGTGTGGTGGTCTACCGCATGACACGTTACTGAAGACTTGCCTTCTGTCGCCAGAAGCAACAATACTACTCATACTACCTCATTACAATGGTTTATTATAAATGTCCCCTAGGTATAAGTGTATGTTTAGATGTAGAAATTATACAATAATATTTAAAAATGTATAAAAAGAAGAGTGTTGTGCTCTATATGAAACTGTAGTACAATTACTACTTACATGTCTGGAAGATACATAACAAGTTATGCTGTCAGTTTTTGTTATGATTCCTGTTCATTTTTGTCTTTTGGGTAAATAGATGATTAATGACTTCATTAGTGTAATAGGGTATTTGCTGGATACAGTGAAAATATGCTTATGAAGTCATGAATCCTCATTTTCTTACATTCATAGTATAATATTGTAGAAACAATAATATTTACTTTGTGCATGTTACATTTTTAATATAGAATGTCCTAAGACAAAATGGAATGCATTAGTAACAAAATTGTTTTATGTAAACTTTATTTCCATTTTATTGACTTTTATAATGGAGCATAACTAGAAATAAACCTCAGTCGTGTTGCAAGTTGTAGAAGAGTGAGGTTAAATGTTTTACATGTTCGCGAGCTTATTTAAAATGGAAGAGAGAAGTAATGTCGCAAGTGTTTGTACTCAGTGCCATATTTACAGAGGAGGATTTTCGTGTTTATTTACTTTTCTGTTTTAATTTTTTTATAATCGAGGGCTTGGCAGTTGAAACAAGTGTTCCTAAACATAGAGTACGGTTCCTCAACAATGGTAAAGATGGCGTCCATGTTCATCATGAGGTAAATTGAACAAATTTCTGCTATTAATTTTGGCAAGTATGTCTACTGAATGCTTTTATTAAATTGACAATGCAAGATATCTGTAAACTATATTTATTTTAACATCTCCCATTCATATTCTTGGATTCACATGCATGCTAAATGGAAATGCTAAGAATACTCACAATTGTGCACAAGGTTTGTGCCAAATATATCAACTTCCCCAAAAATTATCTAATGAACCAGTAGATTCATGCTTATGTTTCAATTGCAATTGATACACCTTGCATTGTAATGTTATTGAAGAGCAGTGAGACATGCTATGACCATATTAGTAGCTGTGTACAGTTTTCATTGTAATTATTTTCATTTTTTATATTTTGATTAAGCGGTGGGGTGGATTATTGTTGAGGGACTTTGTGCCTTCTTTGTACAGCATGATATGATTAAAAATGATATTAGAGCACGTGTCAAATAGCGTAAAAAGCAGTTGGCAAAAAATTGTCATCTGTTTTTTTCAGGTGTTCACAGTTCCTATCTTGCTCCCTAATTGATGAAAAAAATAATTAAAACTTTTTTATAGATTAGAAAAGTAGAAATAAACCACACACACATACACGATATTATGTATTTTGCTGTAGAAGCATGAAAAAATGCATTGTAGACATACATGAAAATTGGAGGAAAGAGGCAATTCATCAATTTTAGATTTTCTTTCAAAATAGAAATATTTTATAATCTTTAGTTGTTTGCTGAAGGGGAGTGTACATCTCCAAGTGTTTTATTTTTACAGTTTTTTAAAATCTTCCTTTGAGAGTTTTCACAACACGGAATTGTAAATGGGGAGGATTAGTTGCTAATATAGTCACCCACTTTCATACCATTTGATTAATGAAGCATTACTACAGGTTTTAACTCAGGTAAACTATTTTAATAGAAGCAGTATTTTTATTATTTTTTAACATTTACTCAGAGATATTTTGTACATTGTCTCCACCTGGATGTGAGTAGACCGTCCACTCAGGCTGACATGCTATGTGACATTGTGATTAACAAGGGTTATTGTTGCATTAATGTATTAAATGTTACTCCCGTGATGGGATTGTTTATAAGGTCTATATGGTAGAGGATTTTATAATTAGGTCTCATGATCAGTAATTTTGTAAGCATTTAAATCTGGTAGTATGAGATTAAAATATTTGTACATAATCTGCATTGCATTTTTTCCAGTTTTGGTGAATGCAGTTTTGACCCTTTTTGAGCACAATTCATATGAGTACTTTTAATACAACCTCCCTATTGGACATCCGTGTTGTGAATAGAAAATGTAACTCGTCATGAGGCGAGCTCAGGAGCTCCAGAGAAATATATTGCCATTCTTTGGGATATATTATTAATGATAACTATAATATTATATATAAACATGATATATGTATACATGCAACTGTTCCATGCATTTACTGTAGCATAATTATTTGTTTTCATAAAACCTATGAAACAGTATGGATAATAAAGTCATTTGAGAATAAGTAATTGCAGTGCTGCTCATACCAGTGTTCTGACACAGTGGATACTCAAAGTTAAACCTGTTTTTGTAGTGAAAAAATATGGTTTACTTTTGTTAATAACATTGTATTGCATTTATATTTCTGACTGTGTAGCAAGGAGTGGAAATGTCTCATTGTTATCAAATACTGTCTGTTGATTTTAAATTGAAAAACATTTCTCTTTAAATTATTTCATTGTAATAAATAAAAAGTTTATGTTCTGAAACTATTCGTCTTTGAGAATGATATTTCATTTCTTTTACTATGAATGGTTTGGATAATATATTTTTCCTTTTCCTTCTTGTTTACTAATACAGTTTTAACCTACCAAAATATTTGGTGGTCATAGTCAGTAACAGTTGTTGTTCTTGTTTGTTATGTTTGAAAAATATATACATAGAATAAATGTCATAGAGTTCTTGTAGGAAAATTCACATGTATATCTTTTTATTGTGACATATTTATAGATGAAACCGTTGATACTAATGCTATTGATGTTCCTAAATTTGCTTTAATTATTGTTTGGTATATGTTTTTCTGTGAAAGTTTATTGTATAATAATTATTCCAAGAGTCAGTACTCACAACACAAATTTTCAAAACGGGTGCAATAAGATATGTTTCTGTGGGTTTGCTTGATATTCTATTCTCATTGGTTCTTCCACATTGTGTAAATGCATTCTGATTATTCTCAGGAGGTGCTATGCAGTAAACAATAGTTTTTAAGTTGCAGCTAATTCCCTTATTGTTACTGTGGTCCTTTTGTTTACTTTCTTTTATATTTACTTCAGACAAATTAGCACAGATGTTGAGTGAAGGGCATTGATGCAACTAATTATTTATTCAGGGATCTCACATGAGACTATGAAGTCTTTGTTTTGTAAGTTTTCATATCCATTTGCAGTTAATTTAGTGTACAAATCATAGATATGCATGCAGAGATAAAGATTTTCTCTAATGTATTTGCTTATATACTGACGGCAGGGATTTATATCAAAGAACTCTCCACAAATTTTTTCTCAGGGATTATCTGTGTCCTCCATTTCAGTGTCTGTGGCTGTAGTACAATATTCATGAATTTCATCAGAATAAAATTAAAGGACTTGTAGTATTTTTAACATTATGATTTTCATAAGTGTGCTTGATTTCATGTGTGCATGGTTCTCTTGGTAATGTTATGCCTGAGATAGAGTGTTTTCTTAATTTTTTTATAATTCCAATTACTACTGCTATAAAACCTTAAGTACTAACATATAGTTTGTAAAACCAGGTGTACAGTCTTTCAGACTGTGATAAATATTTACTTTTTATGAATCCGCTATTTCAAATCTATTTTTCAATAAACTACATGTGGAGATTTATCAGTAAAGCATGCTTTTTGACTAACCTTCAGCTTCAAGATAGGTTTATGGAAAGTACAAATTCTGTTGCAAGTTCCTTTGCTTCATTTAATGATTGCCAACTTTTAACTAAAGTGTGCTGCTTGTAGTGTAATTTTTTAAATATTTGTATATAGGAGTTTTTATTTCATGTCACCCCTTAAGTTGGATTATTATTACTTCTTTTACTATCATAGTAGGCAATGACTATCTTCTTAAATTTCTTTTGTGGTACACGTTATTATATCATGAAATAACCACATTTACAGGTAGAGGAAGCTTTGTTTACACAAAGAAGGGTCAATTAGCCACCCCCTGCACATAGGTGGCTAAATGACCCTTCTTTGTGACAAATATATGTACCCTCTATCCTTAAATGTGTGTGTACACATATGCTTAAGCTAAAGTTTCTGGACACTTGATAATTAAATTTTAAAATTCTAAAATGAGCAAAAAAAATCAATAAAGAATTAATTTTAATTTTTGAAAGTATTATCAATTACCGCTTTCAAAGTTCAGTAACACTCCCCTCTGCAACCTTTTCCATGATACACAGAACCTAAGGCGACTTTAGAGAGCCTATTTGTAATGAATGTACTCCTACCATTCTTGGCATACCATCCTGTTATGCAGTACAGTCTTTTTTAACCTGGCTCAAGATGAGGGCCGAATTAGTATCTTAAGAGCTCGAAGCATGACTAAACAATGGAGCTCCCGAATAATATTATATAAACTGAACATATATAATCAAAATTGATGTTAAAATTAATTTTATTTAAAAAAAATTAATATTTTACATATTTATAAACTAATATCACATTTTGGGTAAAGAAGCTAGGGCGTCACGCAGTGCTCTAAGCTCTGAGCAGTCTGCTTATGCATTTGTTCAATCCTGATCATGATGAAAGATCAAGTGCCAGTTCAATCGAGATATATGGTGCTATGAACAGTCAACCATGCCATAATCACATGAAATAACCCAAGCCTCACATGGGATTTGGGGACTTGAATCTACCAGTCTGTTGTCCAACTTCTCCCTATACAATCTGCACTACCCAGGGTAGCTTAAATTGCTTTTATGGCAATTATATGATATAAATAACTAGTTGGA